TTACACTAAAATAGAATGGGGTCACTTCTGAGAAAAAAGTTTGAAATTTTGATGAACATTTTATGAATTTTCAGTATTCTATAAAATTTTATGCTTAGGTTTAAATGGTATTTGTTAGGGAATGAACTTATCTTAAAAATTAATAAACATAAGCGGCAAATCACTTTTTAAAGAACTGACCTATTGTAAAAATAACAAAACATTGCTTTATTTCTTTTTTAATAAAGTTTTTCTTTACGTGTTTGTGTTTTAATAATGCTACGATCTTAGTATACTTCATTAAATGTTCATGTTTTATTCAGAGATTTATTTCTGTAATTTAAAAAGAAGTTGTAACTATAAGAATAATTATATTCGCTTAAGTACCCGCATCGAGGTACTTAAGCGGGTCCTTTTAAGTACCCAACCCACCTAAGTACCTCAAAAAGCTAACATTTTTCGTAAGGTACTTAAGCGGGTTTAACTGTATGTACTTAAATACTCCATATAAGTAGAATAAGTTTATTACACCTATTTTTTCATATTTTATTCAAAATTTTTATAATTTTATACAAATTCGATTAGCCTGATAGCCACAAGCGCTCGCGCAATTTTTAGCACTATTTGTTCTCATGCATTATTTTCTCGAAATTATCTGTCTGTTCAGATTTGTATAATTTTATTAAAAACTTGAAATCAGTTAAAATATTTTACAACCTTTACCCTTTTTTATGAATTATAGTTTTACATATGTACAAACTCGTTAAGTTATATCGTTTCTGTAACTTTTCTCTACCAATTATTTCTCCACTGGTAGAGGATATACGTCATTCTCTAATACTCATTAGCAGTAAAGAACGGGGCGGCGAATTCATATCACAATTCGTCTGGTAGAGAATTGTTACAGAAACGAGCTACTGAAATGCAAAGGTCGTAACTACAAATGTATGTATGTATGTGTGAACAGCGAATATCTCGAATCGACGGCGATTATGTGTGCAAGGTATCGATGTGCCGATGTTCTACATAGTCCGCAATCGATCATAAAACATCGATATTTAACGTCTTATCATCGATAACATCGAATATCGGGCATCCCTAATTGCTAGTGCAGCACGGCCAAGTGGAAATTGTTTCTCGAAAGCGATTTGCGTAATTTCAGTTGCAGTTACACCTTGCAACTTTTATTTCCGAAAGTGATTTCTGAAAATCTGCAAAAAGGTCCCTCTGGCTATTTCACTCATCGAGTGTTTATTTTTCCGATAGGAATTACCCGTAAGAAAATGAGTTATTCTCTTTTGAGGTCAATATAATTTTCTAGAATGAATCAAAATCCTCGAAACTATAATAATACATTGATTAGATGTCATTTAAGTATTATGCATGCTCAGATTCTTTAAATTCCGAAATTATTATTTTCTAATCGCTTGCCCTGTTTAGGTCAAATCTAGTAATAAACAATTTTTTTTGGAATTTTTTTGGAATAACTCATTTTCCTACGGGTAATTCCTATACCATCGATGCCGACCTCTCAGAATTATCGCAGAGAGGGAAGATTCATGGAGGATCATTGCTGTAGCAAATACTAAAATCTGAGTCCGATGGTAGTCGCATTGCAGAATTTTTATTTTTTTTGGGAGGTCGAATGAATATGTACGTATGTACATAAACCTACCCAGTGAGAAGAGTAATAATGCGTTACATGCGTGATAAATAATCAGGCCTATCAAAGATCCCGAGTGAACTCCCGTCGTGAAAAAATCTCCTGTGACGAATTCGGGAAAAATGCTATCAGCAATTCCGACGTATTTGTAGTTAGCGCCAAGTGTATTAAACAAGGTGTGATTGACAACTCAGGTAGGCTCTCTTTTAAGGGACTACTATGCCAAAAAATATAAACAAGCGATTCGAAATTCATAAAAAATTTTTTCAATTTGACTTTATTGGATGGTTGTTCTGAGAGCAATGTCAAATTCAATTACACTTTGTTGAATACATTTTGGTTAGCGCTGCCCTTGGTTTTTGTTTGTTTTTATGTTTTGGTTTAATGATTCTAAATCAAAATAAAATAAATCAAAATAAAATAACTCGAAATCTGTGCTACCAATCTCACGAATTTCGAATTTGAGGGAGAATTTCGTGTTCACGACGGAATTCATCATAGCGTGACAACGTCAGGATCTCCGAAAGAATTGATGATTGCCTGAATGTACCCAGCAGAAAAAAATTATCAATTGATTAAAATAACCAACTTCTAGTTAACTTTATTTCCGGAGTTCGATAAATAACTAACTTTTAATAAGCTATGACAAAACTATCTTTAGGTTAGTTGGAAAGTCGTGCAAGAGTCATGCAGATGTTATCGGGAGTTTGTTTTCTTTACAAGTTGCTATTTAAATATCCACACAAAAATTACTTTCAATACACTTTTTTTCTGAACTTCGCAGATTCTTTTTCGTATTCAGGACAAATAAAAGGAAGATCTAAATTTCACATTATCATTTTGAAGTTATATCTGACAGTGTTCGAATATGGGACCACCTGCAGCAAAATATGTAAACAAATATGAAATGTAATAAAATAAAGTAAATAAATAAAGAATTAAAAAACCAAAAAAATATTTTGTTTTTCTTATTGATATTTTATGTCTAAATGCAGTTAGCTACAAGTTAGTTGGCATCTAATGCAGAAGAAACCAGTTCTCACTATTTTGCGGCCCTCGCCATTCAAAATTAGTTAGTTACGGCTAAAGGAAATAGTTAATAAATAGTTACCACTAGTAGAATGCTAATTAGTTAATAGTTAGCTACAAACTAGTCCCGTTTCCTGCAGCGTATGTATCCAATGTCTTTCTTATGAGCTTTAGATTACTTTTACTGATTAATATGTAATCAGCATTCTAATTAGAATTGCTGATATTTTCGAAAATATCGCTTTTCGATATATCGAAATGGCGAAACCGAAAAATATCGATATTATCGTTTTTGAAATATCGATATATCACGCTAAAAAAAAAAAATTGAAATTTTACAGCAATATTTAGGAAACCTTGTTCAATAATAGTTTGAGTAATAGTAAGAGTAACTCATAGTAATATTTATTTTACATTTTTCAAATGTGAAAGATCTGTTGGCAGACATAAATTCTTAAGCCTTGCGCACACCAACGTGATAGCGATAGCGATAGTGATAGAAATCGAACGCAACATGTGTTTTCAAATGGAAGCGTGCACACCAAGCGCTATCGCAGCATGCTATATTCAATCGCACTATCGCAGCGTAATTAGATCAACGGTGAATGGAATTTGAAAAGTTGATTGTAACAAAAAGGACCAAATCGTGGAAAAATTAGTTTTCTATGTGAAAAATCATTGAATTTTATATTTTCATTTCGTTGAATCATTTCAGTGATTATAATTAGTACAATAAGATGTCTTATATTTTATAGTACAACAAACAATAATTATTACAAACAAAGGACATAAGAACACAATAACGTCTATAAGATTTCCTCATTACAAGTATGCATATATAAATTAAAAATATAGAGGGAAATATAAATAAATAAATAAATAAATAGTAACGTTACAAATCTAATGGAGAAGTAGCTTACATTTATTATAGATAGTCAGTTAAAAAAAAGAAAATAAATTATAATAATAATTATATGCCAAATTTAACACTTATTATCAGAGAAATAACTATAAAGAAGTTGCCTATAGTTGTTTTGGTTAAGAGTGTTTCTAATAGTAGCCGGAATAGAATTCCAGATACGTACGGTGTTGACAAAAAACAGTCTTGTGGAGGTTACATAATTAAAACTGGGTACAGTTAAGGTACAAGAACGGACGGATTTACTAAGTACAAGCTTTTCGTACAAATATGACGGTGTTTTTACTGAAATCAGACGGAAAAAGGAAAATGCAACTTCTAGCCTTCTGATAATCAAGAATATTACAGCCTAAAAGACGAGACCTCCAAGTAGATATATGGTCCAACCTGCGCAAGCCATAAACATAATGTGACGTGATTAAAAGCGATTTCAATTTTATAAGCAGTTCTAGAATCAAGTCTGTTGTAAACTAACTCTGAGTAGGTTATAAGTGGCAGTATGAGTTGGATGGCAACTTTTCTTCTAATTTGAAGAGGCGTATAGCGCACAGACTGTCTTAGGTTACGCAGAGTACCATATACTCTACCCACAGCAGAGTTAATGTGGTTGATACCAGTAAGGCTGGAGTTAATTACAAAGCCAAGATTAGTGATTTTACTCAGAGACTTTATTGCATATTGCAGGAATTTTAAAGCACGAAACATTTTTCTTCGCAATGGGCAACACGTACGCCTTTGCAGCATTGAGACAGAGGCCATTGTTATTCGCCCAGTGCAACAAACATGATAATTCACTACTTATTTTAAAACACAGATCACTTGTATCAGTAAAGCTACTCGACAAATACAGCTGAATATCATCAGCATATGCATGCATACTTCTTAATTTACATACATGGAACACATCTTTAACAAAGAGACTAAATAGTAAAGGACAAAGTATTGAGCCTTGGGGAACATCATTCGTTATTCTTCTTGGCTGAGAAACTCCTTTTCCCGTGCAAACATACTGGGTTCTGTCTGTCAAGTAACTTTCCATAATCTTTTACGCGTTATCACCAAATCCGAAATATTGTTGGAGTTTCCAACTTAGCTATGTGTGGTCAACTGAGTCGAATGCTTTCGAAAAGTCAAGCAAACAGGGCGGCGTTAGTTGACTTTTGTCAAAAGGTATGCGTATGTCATCTAGTATTTTCAATAATGCGGTTGAGCAGCTGTGCTTAGCTCTAAATCCTGACTGAAACGGTGAAAGTAAATTATATTTAAGCGAATGTGCACTGACTTGCTCCGCTAACAAGCTTTCAAATACTTTAGACAGAGCTGGCAAAATACTTAGGGCACTGACTTGCTCCGCTAACAAGCTTTCAAATACTTCAGACAGAGCTGGAAAAATACTTATGGGTCTAAAATCCCCCGGAGAGCTTGATACTTTACTTTTGGGATGAGGATGGAAAGCAAGAAGTCGTTATGGATGATTTAAATGAAAAAGATAATAAAAATGTAAGAAAGAAATATAAAGTATGGATGAAATTGGAATTAAGCTCAACGAAAGTGGAAAGTTCGAAACACTTATTTACATACATTCCATAACTTGACTTTGTTATTCTACATACTGTACAATCGCAACTCTATCCTTATCGCGTTGGTGTACATGCGCAATTATCGCTATCCCTATCGCTATCACTATCGCAATCCCGTTGGTGTGCGCTTAGCTTTACTTGTAAAAAGATCACCTGCAAGACTTCTAACAACTAAAAAATTTAACTATCAGAATTTGGCTTGTAAAAAAAACTTGGGTAATGTTTTCAAATATGAATGGATGTGAGGACATATTCTTTAATATAAGGATATGTATTCATTCATTAATACATACATTAATCGATTGCGCAGTTTAACTCGCATACATATATTAAAGTTTATTGAACTTATGTAAAAAATTAACCATATAACCATTTGTGGGTAAAATACCGATATTTGATAGTATCGTCAAAAAAAAAAAAAGTCTCGCCGAGAATATCGTATCGCAAACAAAAGATATCGCCAATATCGATATATCGATATAACATAAGCAATCCTAATTCTAATGTCCCAAAAGTCCCAAAAAAATCCCTATTTAATCACGTATACTCTTCGATACTGGGTAATGCAAAAAGCAGGGACGGAAAATTATCATTATTTTTTAAATTTTAACCAAAAAAATCAACAAGTTGTAATCCCCGTAAAACAATTTTAATTATACCCACGTATTTGTTTTTGTACATCCCACTGTAATTTACAATGATTTTTATACCCGAGCGCACTTGTGCACAATTATAACTTTTTTTCACATAACGGTTGTTTGTAAGAGGCAAAACGAATCGACATAGATATAGACAAATGTATACATAAATGATCAGAATGAAAAGAGAAATCGCTTAAGCGGTGACTGTCTGTCCGTCCGCCGTCCGTCTGTGCACACGATAACTCGAGTAAAAATTGAGATATCTTAACCAAACTTGGTATGTGCACTTCCTTCCAGCGTAGGACGGACGGTATTGAAAATGGGCAAAATCGGACAATAACCACGCCTACCTCCCATATAAAGGTAATTTTCAGAAATACGAAAACTGCGATATTTTAGTAACTACTGAAGATTATTCACTCAAAATTGATATTTACAATAATTTTTACACAAAAAATAAGAATTATATAAATTTTTGGAAAATATGCGTAGCCACGCCCACTTATGGATACATGTGTATATCTTGGTAACAGCTGCACCAATTTCTTCCAAACTTGGCACAGTTGTTAGTCTTGCTACAGCTAGGGATATGGAAATAACCTCACATCGATACCAAGCCGATACCAACCAAAAAGTATCGAGTATGTACTTTTATTTACTCATTTTCCGCCAGCTAGCTTGCTACTTTTACTCAAAAATGTTAGGTTGACCGTGAAGATCCAATTAAAACATGTCCAAAATGATGTCTCTCTATCCAAACGATTTAACAATCGTCAAGCAAACAAATAATAAAAAGACAAATACATTTCTATTAAAGATTTGTTTACGAACTGTTTCTACAAGCTTAACTTTTAGTTGAAGCAACACCACCAAGAAAATGAAATTCAACTGAAATGAGGAATGCAAACCACAATAGCAACGGTAAATTTTGTTTGCTCTGTTGCTCAAATGGCTTTGAGTTGATCGAATATTGTGCTCTCACTTATTGCTCTACCTTATATTTTGGCATTCGTACTTTTGCTTTACAAGCGATGGGAGTTTAGGTATGAGTACTTTTTGCCGATACCAAGTACTTACGTCTGATACCTTCTTATTGTATTTGGTGAAAGTATCGATGCCAAAAGTACTTGGTTTCAAGATGAAAGTATCGAGTACCTACTTGTATTTACTTGTGTCGCAACATCCCTAGCTACAGCATACCAAATGGCAATAACCACGCCTACCTCCCATATAACGGTAATTTGGAGAAATACGAAATCTTCGATAAATCAGTAAATAATAAAGCTAATTTACTCAAAATTGATGCTTGCAACAATTCTTTACCAAGAAATACGTTTATGATAAAGTTTTGGAAAATGGGCGTGGCACCGCCCATTTATGATCACATATATGTATCTCGGTAACCGTTCTACCAATTTGTACCAAACATGGTATGGTTATTGTGCTTGTCACATAGAAGCAAAACGTCGAAAATTATTGGATTCAGATTAAAATTCGACACTTTTCATATAACGGAAAATTTCAGAAATGCTTGAAACTTCAATATTTCGAAATTTGAGGACGCTAATTTACTCAAAATTGATACACACCTGCTGACCATGTAGCGGTAGCTTTCGGAAAGGTGAAAATCATATACTTAGTACCTGGGCCGGGTATTTAATGTTCGGCTCCGCCCGAACTTAGACTTTCTTACTTGTTATTATTCGAGTTTAACCAATCAAGATTAAAAATAATAATTAATATTTGAGTTTTAATTTTTCGTTCAAAGGTAATTATTATTACTTGATTTTTATTTTTTCGATCAAAAATAATGATTGTTTTATGATTTTTATTCTTTTGCTCAAAGATAATTATTATTATTTAGGTTTGTTTTTTCCAATTAAGAATGATGATCATTCCAAAAAATTAAAAGCTATACCAGCGCGTCGGCCGCTGTGGTGTAGTGGTAAGCAGTGCGCGCTTCCACTCCGCAACACCTGGGTTCAAACCCTGGTCAAAGCAACATCGCCAAAAATATAGAAAAAAGGTTTTTTCTTAACAGCGGTCGTCCCTCGGCAGGCAATGGCAAACTTCCGAGTGTATTTCTGCCTTCTCATAAAAATATAGTCGCCGTTCGGAGTCGGCGTAAAACTGTAGGTCCCTCCGCTTTGTGTGACAACATCAAGGCGCACGCCGCAAATCGGAGGAGAAGCTCGGCCAAAGACTAACATATGTGTAAGCGCCAATCTATTATTATTATTATTATACCAGCGCGGTTTCCGCCGTATCCTTTTCAGAGGTAGCGACACCATAATTAAAGGAATAAGTCTAAATATTTTCAGGTAAAAATTTCAGTAAGTTGCGTCTGTATAGCCTTTTCAATTTTATAAATAATCATTATTTTTAAATAGAAAAATAAAACTCAGTAATAATTATTATCTCTGAGCGAAAAAATAAAAATCATAACATAATCATTATTTTTGATCGGAAAAAATAAAAATCAAATAATACTCATTTCCATTGAGCAAAAAACTAAAAATCAATAATAATTATTATTTTAGAGAGAAAAAAATATAACTCATAAAATAATGATTAAATGCTGATTTAAATTATTCCACTCATAATGATTACCGTCCCTGGCAAAAAGAAATGCCATACTTTTCTTAGGACAGCGCCGTGGGTGAAAAATGCATTTTCGGATGTGAGAACGGCTGTTGATTGTATTATTTTTTCTATTACCATACATTAAATTTTCCCACTGACTACTTGTGTGTTTGTAAGTACGTACCTCAACGGATGTGGAGAAGCCACCCGAGTCTTCGGTGGCAGTAACTATCAACGAGTAGACATGCGGCTGTCGCAAATCTTCGAAATCCAATTCTTTCGCCAACTTGACGATACCCGACGACGGCCCAATGTTGAATGTACCAGCCCCTTGTCCTTGTGCCTTCAATGTATAGCGTATCTCACGATCTGCAAACGATTTCGCCTTCACCGAGATGATGCTGAAAGTAAAAAAGAAGAAAATACGTATGAGTAAATCTATCAGTTAGGGCCAGTTTTTTAGTGCATGGGTGTGGTTTAAACTTAGTTTAAATTGCCAGCTAAACTAAACGCAGTTTACGTGATTTAGGTTTAACCTGCGAAAGTGCCATAATTGATGTATTTATGTATATAAAGTTGTGAATTTGACATTGTTGCTGTGATGTGTTTTACCTACATTTGAAAAATAACTTTGGTTACACAATTATGTAAGCATAAAATTAAAAATAAATCGGAAATATGCCAGCGCAATGATCGACTATGTCGGAGATTTTTTGGATCACTGTCGGGAATTTCGTAGTCGACTGCTAAAATAGCTAACTTTTGGCCCGCTTATGGCGGCTATCTTTTAAATGAGTTCAAAGTTATACAGAGCCAACCGAAAAACGTTTGTTTTAATTTTTAAAATTGTGCAAGTTTTTGGTTGTAAATATACAGGCAGTTGATAGTTATGTTCAATTCTCAGAATTTTGTTGAAGAACGCCCTATCTCAGAACTCGGTTCAAAAACGCCCTATCTCAAACGAAAATACATTGAAAATAAGCTGAGATAGGGCGTTATTCAACTCAATTCTCAGGTAGGGTGTTTTCCAATCAAATTCTGAAGTAGGGCGTTCTTGAAAAGTTTTCTGAGATAAAGCGTTGTTGAAAAATTTTCTGAGATAGGACGTTTCGAACTGGCTGCCGAGATAGGTCGATCTTCCACTCAGCCATCGATATACAATGTGCATGTCCAATCAAAGACATACAAAAATATATCTTCTTCTTATTTGGCACTACAACCGTTTGTCAGTTTGGGTCGAGACCAAAAAGCTTTTCCAATTGCCTCTCTCCTGTGCGAATTTACGCCAGTTGGTTATCCCGAGCGCAGATAGCTCCTTCTGTACTTGGTTCTTCCATTGTTCGTGGGCGCCCTTGCTTTCGTTGTTCACCCATCCGTGCGTAGTCGAAGGATCTTTTCACCGGAGCCTCGTCATCCATGCGTACAACATGTCCAAGCCAGCGCAATCGCTGTATTTTAATGCGCTTAATTATGTCCATGTCGTTAAAAAGTTCATACTGTTCGTCATTCCATCTTCTCCAATACCCGTCATCCACGAAAACAGGGCCGTAGATCTTGCGCAGAATACTTCTCTCGAAAGCCCCCAAAGGCTTTTCATCTTTGTTCGACATCGTTTAAGTTTCTGCGCCATATAAAAGGACGGGCATGATGAGAGATTGTAGAGCGTGATTTTCGTTCTGCATACGCCAGCAGCATCGTTCTTTTGCCATATATGGTGCCGCTGCAATTCAGATTGGCAGCTTGGCAGCCATACATACGGTGGTAAAAAAATTTTAGCCGAAACACTTTTTGCCAAGTTCTAACGTATTATTTTTGTTTTTATTGAACTTTTGTTATTTTTTTATAAAAATATAGTTCTTTCTTTAACAAAACCCGTGTAAATCCAAGTTTCAAAATTTGTGCCATATTAAAAAAAAATTTAACAAACTTTCGTACAAATTTCGAACTTTTTAAAAATTCTAAAAAATCAATCGAAATTTTTAGCCATTTCAAACTTGTACTTTATTCTACTAGAATTCAATGTGATACAAAACTGCGTACTCAGAAATAAATTAAAAACCTCGAAATTTTAACGAAAATTTGTTGAATGTTTTTTTAAATTGCAAAAATTTTTAAGGCAGTGTCACTCGATTGGTACCTTTGTACAGATTTGTACATTTTTATATTGGGCTATTGGTAAAAAAAAGGGAAATTTTTTATTTTTTTGTAGTCAAAAGATTGGTACTTTACAGCGATATCTCTATTGAAAAATTTCAACAAATGAATTTTCGTGATTGGGATAAAGAAAAATACTTTGGGTGTTCACACAATTGGTATTCGATTTGCACCAAATTTTGGCAAATACCCAATCGTGTGACACTGCCTTTGAACTTGTATTTATACGGATGTTTTTAAAGAATGAAATTTAAAAAAAATTAAATAACAGCAAAACAATATTTTAAAACTTGTGAAAATTTGGTGCGGCTATAATTTGTTCGACTAATAAACTAAAAAAAATTACTGTACATAAGTTTACTATGATTACTCGTCCGTGCTATTATAGTAGCACAATGCCACTAAGCGCATTTTAAAATTTTCAGGCAATAGCCTCATGCGATTATCGATTATATTTTTTGTTGTTTGTGTGAAATATTTTATATTTATCAGTATTTTTCTTTTAATCAAAATATGTTGAAGTAAAAGTGAAACTAAAAAAAAATTTGCCAGAACTTACCCCCCCCCGAAAAAAAATCCTGGCTACGGGCCTGGTTATGTTATTTACAATAGTATGCAAAAATTACAAATATTTCTCTAAGGGCCAATTTCACAGTGCGTCAGAATCGACAGTTAACTAGAGATTTTCAGTACAAAAATTCTGTAGTTAACTCCCGATTCTGAGTTAACTACGCATTGTGAAATTGGCCTAAAGTATGCAGAAATTACCGCTATATTTATGTTGCGTAAAAATTTCATTGCTGTATCGATTACCAGTACCGCACTAGAACAAAATGTGATTTAATATTTACCATGGACATATATGTAAAATCTAAATTTTAAAGCCGTTTTTCTCAAGTTTCGCTTTTGAAGTTATGACATTATTGAAGTAAATGATCAATATGTATACTTACATATTAGACGTCTGCATGAATCCGTTCAAAATGGCATAGCGACACCTGAGTGAAATATCGACCTATCTAGGCAGCTAGTTCGAAAACGCCCCATCTCAGAAAACTTTTCAAAACCGCCATATTTCAGAATTTAACTTTTATCTCGGTATTTGGTTGAAGAACGTCTTATCTCAGAATTCGGTTCAAAAATGCCCTATCTCAACTGAACTGTTTTTTAACCGGCAGAATGAATATGGTTGGCTATGAACTTTATTGAATTTAAAAACAGAGCTGTGTTGAAATGAGAATCGTCATGACAACGTTCAAACGTTGTAAAACCATATTGATATAATAGTAGTGCTATTCTGTAACCAATTTTCGACAGTTATGACAAGTTCTATGATTCTTCTATTCTATACAAATTTTCTGACGGTTTCTATCGAAAATTTGAAATTTTCATTCCGATTACGATGAAAAAAAAAACGCTCGTTAAGCTTTGCGACAACACTTTATTTAGAGTTTTTTCTTCAAATAATGTATCCCCACAGACTCCTTAATGAATGCTACAAAAATCAGGGACGTGAACCGGTTTTGAACCGGAAAACCGCTTTTTTCTATTAATTAACTGAACCCTTAACCGAACCGAAATTTTCCACAAATGTTTGATCCGAACCGAAAACCGAGCCACTTTCTATAAAGGTTTGTTTCAACCAATTTTCAATAGATAAATGTACCCACTTTTTTCTTTTTGTTAAACATGGTGACACCTACCATATTTGTTTACCATGAGACAATATCAAATGTAAAGGCAACCCATCCCATTTGATACACACTTGACCCTTAACCTTGCGCGATGTTGCACTTGACACTTGACACTTAAACTTGCGCGTTATTTTTTTTTGTTTTTCGAACCGTTGAACCGAACCAAAACACCGGTTCAAAGACCCAAAAAACCGGTTCACGTCCCTGACAAAAATACATACGTATAAAATCGATGGCCGACGACTTCCTACTACTTACATATTTGGCACGAAGAAGTCAAAAAGCGCATAGAAGTGCCTTTTTCATATTTTGCGAACAATAATATTCTTTAAACGTTTCAGGTAGGAGAAAATTCATATATGTATATGGGGTTTTAGACTCGCTGAACCCGAGTACGCGGTCCGTTAACCTCCATAATGTCAGGTTCGAGGTCATTTGAGGGTCAAATAAGACAAAAAAATTTATTCAAAAAAATTTCTTTTTTGTTTTTGTTGTCCCTGAACCCCAATATGGGGGTCTCTTGATTCATTAAGGTCATCTAGAGGTCATGCCAAGCTCATCCCAACGTCAAATTCAGAAGAATTGTACTGAGTTTTCGGGTTTATTCAATGAATTTTTCCCTACTTGACCTTCAAATGACTCGAACCTGACTGATGGAGGCTAACAGACCTCGGATTCTCATTCAGGGCTTCGAATTACATAAACCTGTAACCTGTGTTATCGCAAAGAAAATTTCAAACTTAGGTTTAGGTTAGGTTATTCAGGCTGGCTGACCGCCCCACATAGACCAATGACGCCATGCAATCACATGGAGAAATAAGGGAAAGTGAAATAAAGCCATAAGAAAAAAATTACATATGAGAAAGAAAGCCATACGATACAAAAAGTAAATGTTGTTTCTTTAGCGGCGGCCCGCGTTGGCTCGCCACACCGCGTCACGCGATTGTGCCGCGCGGTCCTCGTATAAAATTGCTGCTTTGTCCATTCTTCTTGCTTTTGATGATATACATAAGTACATACATATACATATGAAGTTTTTTTTTAAATCGGTAAGATATATTTTTATATCTATATATCACAGCGTATGTGAGGTTGCATACATTATTTTGTAGAGAGTAAAAACACTCATGATTCAAAATTGTTCTCTGTTATAAAGCAATCGCATTTCGTGCTTCGGTGAGAAAATCCAATTTTTGGCAAAAAATGTCAGTTACGCGGTTTTGCAGAACGACGATAGGGGGTTTTGCATTTTAAACGACGATATAAGTACATGAAGTAGAGTACTTTTTGATTTTGTCATTAACAATTTTATACATACCTCAAGTTAATATGCATCTTACCTATTTAAAAGAACATTTTATATACATACGTACATACATATGTATATCTATACAAATTAATATATATATACATATGTATATATCTTTGAGATTTTCCTTTAAATCTGTAAAATATACTTATATAAAATTTAAAATTGCTAATGACAAAACCGAAAAGTACTCAACATTGCAGACGACATATAAGGAAAACTGAATTATTACGAAATATAAATA